TTTTTCTCCGGTACCGGGAACCGAACTCACGACCTTGCGCTTGCCAGGCAGGCGCTTTTGCCGCTGAGCTAAATCCCCAGCCCCTTTCCTCACTCATTCTAAAAATGCCTGTACAAATTTACAGTTGCAGTTAAGAAAGCTGTGCTTGGCTAAGTAGTTGAGTAGTTTGGAGGGGGAAATTCTTTGCTCTTGGGGGGGTTGGTAAATAACAAGTTTGCCTTCGGTAGTTCAGGTATTTCAGAATTTCACTTACCAGCCAAAGCATCAAATTTAATAATGCCCAATTTGCTCAATTTTAGTATGATTACACCTATTCCATAAATTATCATCCTAGAGTTTCTTGCATTTTTTCATTGAAATAAATATTTTAACAATTTATATTCTCACATAGATGCTTTTTAAGATATTACTTGCAAATGCCAACCAACAGTATTTATATAGAATTTCTTGTGCCAGTTTGAATAAATTGAAGTTTGTGTTTAGTTTCTAGTGGTCCTTTCACTGTATTATATAACCAAACTATTTACACTATGCAAATTAACTTTGTACTTTGTGATGAAGCAATGAGATAGATGTTCTCCAGTGTAGCAGATTAAGCTTTTATGTTGAACTTGAATGTTAAATTTGTAATTCAATGAAATATTATTTTGAAATATAATCAATGAGTACTTACATTTTTCAGTGAGTGAATTCTCTAAATACCACGTATAAACGTAAAGATTACGTAGCATCCTGAAATTATATGACTTTAAATCTACGTTATTTCACTTATACCTGATATGTGATTCTATAAATACCATGTAAATGTCGTGCATGAACTTATCTACTTGAGTATGTCAGTATGTTATTGTAGGACATGTGAAGTATACTTCACCCATAATACCTATGTCTTTAATCCAGTAAAAAAGTAGGTGATATATTTTATTTTCAAATTTGGATATACGCATAAAAATAGACAGGTAGTTTTTAGTTTGGTTACTGAAAGCAATGAGTTAGTGTCATTTATTCAAGAAATTAGTTAACTTCCTGCCTGAAATTCCCCCTCAATCTTCAGAAACTTGTAGAATCACAAGTATTCAAATGGAAAGTTTCCATCTTATCACATGTTTGAAGTACCTAATTAAATTAGCTGGCAGTCAATTAGCTAACCAAATTGAATAGGGACAAAGAAACACAAAGATACTCATGGAAATATTGCCTTAGAATTGAAATGCTAATCTCTAATTGCAAGTTATTAGGAAATGGGGTGTTGGGGAAATAGTTAAGGATGGAGAATTATTGGAATCTAGTAGGAGACATCTACTTTGAAAGCTTTTTTTTTTTAATGATAGCAGATTTGGAAGTGTTTTATGTCCTCAGGCTTTCCTTTGAAACTTTTTCTGTTGTCACATTTTCCTTTCCACATTTGTGTTCACTTGCTTCCTTTCCCACTTTAGTTAATTAATTTATTCTTTGCCTTAACAAATACTTAGTTCTTTGGAATTTGGGAAAAATGAAGTGGATACTAACTGCCTATAAATGTAGTGTCATTTTTTATATTTTTCAGATTCTGTGTGGATAAGAAAGATACTCTCGAATAGCACATGTTAGAAAGTACACTTTTTTAGGGCTCTGTGTCTAGTAAGCTAGAAATATAACTTGTAAAGTAGTGACTCAAGTTATTACACTTCTTGGGACCTGGACAAATACTATACATCTTGTTTATAAATGCAACAAAAAGCTTTCATTGTAAAGAAGCCAGCGCACAATAATCAAGGAACACAAAATTTGTAACAAAAAAATCAAGAGAATGGCTCTATGTATTTCTTTTAAATCTAGCTAGCTGTTGAGATCTTAAAAGTTTGAGGCAAGTAGTTTACATGAACTGGAAGTTGCTCATAGGTATATATTTGTTTTAATATTTTGGCATGTGTGAAAGACAATATAATTGTTTATTACAAAGATCTGTTTTGTTTATAAGTTTTTCTTTTGACAGTGATACGAATTTTGAAAGTAAAGAACGAACAGCATGTAAAGGAAAGCTTGCCATATCAGGTATGCTGTACATGGATCATTTTATATTGCTGAAAAAGTTCTGTAAAGTAACTAGAGTCAGTAGGTTTTGTTTTATTCTCTACTTCTGGCCTTTTCATACCTCTATGGAAATATTTGCTCTAAAGCTCTGTTTTGATCATTATGCTCTACATTTGTGTAGAACTGTACAGTTTGTAAAAACGGTTCCATACTAGGGGCTTTTCTCCTCCGTGCAGCCTTATGAAATGGATAGGGTAATTACTGTTTCTACAGACTCAGAGGTTAAGCGACTTGATGGAAGTGGCTGACCTGGGCTGCAAACTCAAGTTAGTTAGCTCAGCATTCCTTTTGTGTTCCACGTGAGTTGAAATCATGTGTGTCTTGTTCGTCACGTCATAGCCAGGAGTTAGCACAGCACGTGGCACGTAGATGACTACCTTTTGTCACTGTAGGAAAAAGACTACACTTTTTTCCTAGTTTTCCATTTTGACCCAATTCTTTTTCTCCATTATCTCCCATTACGCCTATATATATGCTGTCTATTTAGGCAGACTTTTTTTCCCTTCTCCTGTCAACAAACCCCAGGCTTCAGATGCCTAATTAGCTTGTGAAATAACTGTTTTCTTCAGATCTGTTTGCTCATCTATAAAACATCCCTGTTATCATTCCAGCTAGAAATAATGCTTCCTTTCTCTGAATTACTAATGCAGTTGGAGACCCTCTACCACTAGATGGCACTTTCGCCGTGTAGTCTCAGTTTCTCCAAAGCGTTAAGGAAGCCAAAGACAATGGCCCAGAGAGACCATGGGTTGAAGTGGACTCGCAGTTGAATGCAGTGATACACTTTTACAAATATCAGCTCATCAGTACAGTTTGGAAACAACTGTTTGTACCTCCCGCACTCCTTAAGTAATAACTAATAACTACTGTATTTCCCTGGCCGAGAGCCATGTCTAGGGAGCTCATGGCTGCAGCTCAGGCCCTGTCGCTCAAAGAACTGTTTTCCATCTCCACTTTCACAACTCGCTTCATAGCTAACACAAATTGTACAGGAAGATAGATCTGCATGTTATTTAGCACGTTATTGGCTCATATCAGAAATTGCCCTCAGATAAGCAAAAGTTCTTTAGAAAAAGAAAACTATATAAATTTCTGTTGCTTGTTTTATAGTTATTATGTTCATGTTTTCATGTTTCCAATTATAACATGTTTTATATCTCCTTGTATCCTTTGACTGCCCAGCATAGTAGTTCTTCAGTACGTTTAATACCTTTTAACATTAATAAATAAGATATTATACATCTTTAAAGGGGATTTTGTACAAATACTAAAACATAACCCTTTTCTTCTACCACCCAGGATAAATGAAATATATTAAATTGGTATTGAAGACTACAGTTCTCTGATGGTTTCAACATCTATTGTGATTTCATAGTAGTTTATTGACTGCCAACATTCATGCTATTAGACTTAACTGTACATTTAGAAAGGGCCTTAAGAAAAACTATTAAAAGTAAAAGAAAAACATTTCTCACAAACACAAATACCCAATGTATAAAAACAGAACTTATTTCTGCATATGTTTCTCCTTTTCAGAAGAAAAAAATTTTTTTAATTTTAAATTAAACTAAGGAACTGAAACTGTCAGAAGATGGAGTACATATGTAATTTCCTTTCATTTTTGCCTGGACTTAATTACATCTTGTTTTTGTATTTATAAAAACAAAAATAAATTCACCTTTATAAATGCATTTTCATTTAATACTAGGATGAAAACATGACTTTTATTTTGGTCAAAAAGAATATTTACAGAAAAATTTCCTAATGTTTCTGAGATTACATCGATAGCCTGCAGAGACTTGGACATTTCCATTTCTAGCTTCCCTTAATGGCCAAATCTTTATACAAAGAATAACAGATTTATCCTTATACTTCCTGCCAAACAGCAAATAATAACATGTGATAATTGTCTCAGGCTTTTCACTGGCTACTAATTCAATGACTAAACCAAATCACTTCAACACATATCTCACTTAATTTTTACTTTTTTTTTTTCCTTTTGTGGTATTGGGGATTGAACTCAGGGTATTGCATGTGCTAGGCAGGCCCTCTGCCACTGAGTTACTTTTGCAGCCCTCAGTTTTCACCTTTGAAAATGATTGATTTCTAAGACCTAATAAAATCAATTTAGCCTTCTTATTTTCATTAAATGTCAGTGGAGATGTAAGAAAAGACAAAAGTAAGAGTATTGTAAACTAAAACTGAGTCAGCCATTTACAAGAGTCTGGAAAGAATTTCTATCATTTGAAGCTGAATTAAGAGACACAGTTGAGGGGGATGGGGATTTAGCTCAGCGGCACAGCGCCTGCCTGGCAAGTGTGAGGTCGTGAGTTCGGTTCCCAGTACTGGGAAAAAGAAACAAAAAAGAGACACAGTTGGTAAGTCTTGGCTTAACTTTGGTGTCTGAACGGTACCTGACTACATGGGGAATAAAGAAGAAACATCCACCATCTCCTCTTGGAGAGATGACATAGGTAGGCATGGGGAAGGGCAAGGTTGACCATAGGAAGTCAGTGTCCATGTTTCTCCCGTGACAGTATAAATAGCTAATGCCACCCTAATAGAGCTGGAGCAGCTCTGAACAGGGCATTGTGAAATGAAATGAGTCCACAACTGTGGCCAAATAAGGGGCTTTTTGACAGGACATCATCCACGTCCTAATTATAAAACAGTAAAGGCATTCCCATTCAAAATAACACTGCATTATGTCACTATAATATAACTCTGTTTTGGAAATTCTAGGTAAAATAATAAGAATAAAGGATGAAACTAGTGAAAAGGAATAGACAAATACTCTTTGAAAATAATGGATTACAGACCTATAAAACCCGAGGGAGTTTACTGAAACACTACTTGGATTAATGAGGAATTCAGTAAAAAGTGCTTCTGTTTCAGATAAACCTATGAAAAACAGTAATCTTTTAACTAAGCAAATAACTAACTGGAAAATACAGCTGGATGTGGAGGTGCACTCCTGTAGTCCCAGCACTCGGGAGGCTGAGACAGGAGGAGAGCATTGAGTTCAATGCCAGCGTGGGCTACATACGTGAGTTCAAGGCCAGCTTGCACTAGAAAACAAGACCCTGTCTCAAAAAAACAAAACAATAATGATAATAATACAGTGGTACAAAAAGTCTTAAATACCTAAGAATAAATTTAATTATAATGTTGAGGATGAATAGATTGTTCTATTCTATGTAAAGACAGTATTATGGTTATTAACTTTTAAGTTAATTTGGATAATTCAACCCAGTACTAATAAAGTGTTTGGGAGGGGAGATTTTCATAAAACAGTTCTAAAATTCATATAAAGAAATTAGAGTAGGATGCTTTCAGAAAGAAGTATTTCTAGCAGTAAAATATGTGGTAAAGATACAATAGTTTTAATAGTATAGTGTTGGTATTAGGATATATATGGTAGCAATAAATGATTCAATTAGATCCATAAAATGTAGAGCTAAGGTACAGACATTTACTAAGAGTGTCATATCTAATAATGTGGCAGCATAAATCAGTGAGGAAGAGAAAAATGTGTACATGGAGCCAGAACAATTATTTAATAAGAATAGTATTTATATTTTTACCTTACATATCCCAAATTTCATATATATTAATAACATTTTTGTGTGTTGTATGATACTGGGGCCTTCTGACTGATACACATCCCCAGCTCTTTTTAAATTTTGAAACATGTTTCACTAAGATTGCTAAGTTGCCCGGGCTGGGCTGGAACTTAGAACCCTACTGCCTCATCCTCTCAGAGTGATGGGATCATAGATGTGTGCCACCATATCCAATGTATATTAAATAACGTTTAAAATTATAAACCATAGGCATAACTGTAAAATATTCTCTTAACTGATACTTGGTTTTAGTGGTCAGAATCTGTTGCAGAATTCAGAGTTCATGTCAAGTAAAATTTAACAAAATTATAATGTCATTTTTCTCCCTTCCTTTCTAGATATTCGAATACCGCTAATGTGGAAAGACTCTGATCACTTCAGCAATAAAGAACGTATGTATGGTCTTAATTTGTGATTGAAATATTTTCTTTGGTTTATTATAAATTTGTGATTATTGAGAAAAAGACTTCTTCCACCCTGAAATAAATTGATGTCATTTGACAGAATAAACAGAATCTTGTTGAACTGTTGTTTTCTGATTTTTAGTATAAATATATTACAATCCCTAATTAAGACAGTCCTTATCAATTGTACTTGTAGGTTAATAGAATCTGTACAAGGCCAGTAAGTAGTGGGCCTAAATGTGCAGAGACAGGAGGAAAATAGGGAACCAAGGAAAATATTTAAGGAATAAAAGTAAAGGCAACATTTCTTTTGTTTGATGAGAATTCTGAGATCTTTTGTGCCTCATTTTGTTACTTTAGATTATTTAACAGAGTGTAATAAAGATTTTAAACTTGATTCAATTTTTTTTCCATCAGCGTTTTATTTTACGGCCTTAGGTATTCTTCACAAATCTATGTATTGCATAGGTGATATAAATTAACCTCAAATGATTTCTAGCTGTTAGAGGCAGAAGATATGGTAATCCTTTATCTCTTTTCTCTATTGTGATAGCTTTATATTTTAAAACTGAATAATATTGAACGTAATTAGTTTTATATGAAGAATTTAAAATCGAGTTAGTGTTTGTTATTCAATTAGGAAATATAATTTACAAAGGAATGCATGTGGCAATTAAATAAATCTTTCTGATTTCTATGGAGATAAGTTTTTCTAAAGAGCTACAGTTTCTCAGTAATGAAGATTTGGTCTTTTTATCACTTAATGCTTTTTAAAACCTCACCAAATTAAAAGACCCACCAGCTATGTTTTTTTCCATGTCTACTTCATTCATTCATTTATTCTTCCTATATCTATTTATCTTTGTGGTTTCCTCCTTTGCTTTCAGTTTGGTGGAAAATCTTTTGCTGTTATTAATGTGCCTACTCTCAACCTCTTCAAATAACAAACATATTCTTACACAGAATTGAATACCAAAATTGACAGAAATAATAGTATATTTATGTAATAAGAAATTTACTGTTAATGGAAGTTTAAACAGTTTTTTAGTAATAAAATTTATGACTTTTATAGTTTGTTTAAACTCTGAGAGTCCTATATTTTTAACTTCATTTTTTGGTACTCCTGGTTTAAGGTTGTATTCTGGTTGAATAAGGTATTACCATATCCTGACACAATAGCCACTATAGCACATACTTGTAATCTCAGCATTTAGGAGGCTGAGGCAACAGGACTATTGCAAGTTTGAGGCTAGCCTGGGCTACATAGTGAGTTTAAAACTTAAAAAACAAAAGTGCAAAAAAAGCTGGCCACTATAAAATGTTAATGACTACAATATATAAAAATAAAAATTATTAACAACTATTTAAACTCATATTTTTCATTTTCAAGATTATTTTAAGATAATTGGGTTTGTCATATATGTTACTGCTTAAAGTGTTGTCTTTTTCTTCCAGGATCAGAGCGCTATGCCATTTTTTGTTTATTCAAAATGGGAGCTGAAGTTTTTGATACTGACATGCTGATTGTGGATAAAACAATTACAGATATATGTTTTGAAAATATGACGGTATTGTAAGTATCTTTAATCTTAAGAGAATGAAAATAGTCTAAAGTTCTACTTTAAAAAAAAGGAAGATCTAATTATTGGGTCTTGGGATCATACAGCCTAATTATTGAGTCCTTGGATTCTTTTTGAAGTATTAAGATCTTTAAATGTTTAAAATGGTTTTTAAAATTACTTTGTTCAAAAGAAGCCCTTTTCTTTATTTGAAATTTTCTGATGTAAAATAAAAATGGAAATTTTATAATTAGCAGCAAATATTTGCATTAGATGAGAATAATTTTTAAACTTTTATAAATATTTATATTTTCATTATTAAAGTGTGAATACAGTGCTTTTTATTTATATAGAATGAATTTGACTAGAAAATAAATCTTTAGCCCAGTTTGGTGGCACACTCCTGTAATGCCAGCTGTTGGCAGGCTGAGGCAGGAAGATCACTGAGAGTTTGAAGCCATCCTGGGCTACATAGTGAGCTCAAGGCCAGTGAGACTCTCAGAAAAAACCGAAAGAAAATAGGTCTTCCATCTCATATAAGAGGTCTAATTACAGAATGACTAAAATAGTAAAACAGCTTTGTTTATAAGATAGTCTGCAGTGTGTATCACAGGAAAAACACTTTGGTAAAACTTGGAGGGTGTTCTTTTTCTTATGGTGCATTTCTTGTGTGTACTCAAACGGTAAAAAAAAGTCAGTGATCATCAGGTCTGTTTTTATTGCCCTTGCTCTTTTACAGGCTCATTTTATGTGGTCATAATACCAAACCAGAACTCCTCAGGTAGCCATTGAAATCATTTTTAACTAACATAAGTTTTTTCTGGCCTTGTACAGAGGTTCTGTTGGCCTAAATCACTGTGGGGTTTGTGATTCTTTCAAGCTTTCAAAGATACTATCTTCATATCTAAATGTTAATAGCTACTGAACTATTAAGATAATACCAATATTACATGTGTTTTTCCATTTTCAGTTATGGAGCTGCATTTCATATTTCAGAGGACTTGTTTTGCCATTCACATAACATTAAAAAGACTATGGCAAACCACATTGTGTGGTTTCTGGTCCAGTGTTCTGTAGTAATTGTGTAGTGCAGAAAAAGAAAATGTACGATTCCGGGTTATTATCAGTAATGCAGACATTCTTACAAGCTGTATTGAACTAGAGAAATTTGTTTGGGACCCAAAAAGAAAAAAATCCAGTTCTCAAATAGCTATATAATTAAGGCTAAATTTTTTTCCCTAAGTTACCTAAATACATTTATTTTCATTATCACTCTTAATAAATTTTTTTCTGCTAAAATTATCCTGTCAGTAGGCTCTTTTTTCCATATCATTTGCCATTGTTTGTTTTTTGTCAGAGAAAGAACAATGCAAAGGACTTGGGAAGAAAGCACATGATTTACAAGTTTTTTAAAATTCTGTAAATATTTTAAATTGTTCTAAAAATAACCTCTGACAAATGTTTAAAAATGTGCTTTTTGTTATGATGATTGTTTTAATAAGTATTCAATATTTATGAATCTCTGGTTTCTTTCTAAATATTGACATTTGTTAGTCATTACCAGGAATACTGTATGGTTAGAAGCTGCCAAATAATAAACTATAAAAATATCTGGAAGTTATTCCTTGGATTTACCAAACCTACGTCTTGGCCGTTTAAATCTTAAAAAGTCTATGTTGCATTTTTAATATCTCTGAGGGTGACGGATGTCCTGTCTGTAAGCAACATCTGCTGCTGATGGACCCCTTTTGCAGTCTTACATGTATTTTATTGCTGGTAACACTGTCACAATCTTTTATGCTAAAGGTAGTTTATCATTCTGATAAAGAGTGAAGCCAATCTCAGCATTTGCTAAAATTGCAGCTTTTCTTCATATTGGTTTAATAAATATGCATCAAGTACCTTTTAGTTCCAGGCACAATGCTAGGCTAAAAATACAAAGATTACCATGATAGATAGCACTTACCCTCCGGGAGTTCATGCTTTGAACTATATCCTTTTATATTGGTTTCATGGGTTTTTTCCCTAAATAACCAAATAGTAAAAATGTTGTTTGTAGTTATTAGGTACAGAAATGGGGTGAGGGGGTACAGAGTGGTGAATTCACTGTAATTCTATGAACAAGTGAATACTGAAGGTTCAGATTTTGTTGTGGAGTAGTCATGTCGGGAAATGATACATGTAATAGAAAGACCTTCAATAGCTGGTATTAAAGAACTGCTGAAGGGAAAATAGCACTGACAAAAAACAACAGAAGTGTTTTATTCTATTTCTTTAACTCATATGCCTGCATACATTGGTTTAGTAAAGGTTGCCTTAGTTTAGAAGCTGGCACCTCTAAAAGTTGTTTTTATAGTGATTCTTAGGCCATTTAAATACTAAATAAGCACAGTTTATATATCATATTTTAAAGGCCAATTTTGAATGTTATGAAAGCATCAAAGGATTTTGTAATTTTATTTTCTACTAAGTTAAATTTTTAACCTTACAAATACTCTTGGTTTTAGTAAGGAAGCAAGGCCAGACTTTAAAATAAAGGTGGAAGTGTATAGTTGCTGTACAGAAGAATCTTCCATAACCAGCACACCAAAAAAGCTAGCTAAGAAACTGAAGACATCTATAAGTAAAGCTACAGGAAAGAAAATAAACTCAGTGCTTCAAGAGGAGAATCATGAAACATGCTTGTTCTTCAGTTCTACTCTTCCGTAAGTTTTCTAATATGATATGTATGCTAACATTATTACACATTTGTGATACTTCAAAGTATTGTGTGTGTGTGGGGGTAATGTTTACATTTTAAGTGGAAAACATTCTGGAGCAGAAACAGTTGTCTGATGTTTACTCAGCTGAGGTACCCTAAATATCTTCCTTCGAAGGTAGGAAGTCAGGTGACAGAGTGTGTTTAGGAGTTTGGATTTCTGTATCTCATATAGATAAAATGTTTTCCTCTGAAATGTGTATGTCAAAGTATTTGCTACATATCAGTTTACTAATTGGATTCCTGTTTATATACCATGTTTTATTTCATAGTGTAAAATTTTTATCACTTTAATAAACCAACATTTCATTATCACATCTACCAATAAAAAATACATTTTTAATATAATCTAATGTCTGTCATATATTCAAATTGCACCAGTCCTTAAAGTCCTCTTTTGATTTGTTTATTCAAATTAGAGTCAAAGGAAGGTCTACAGTGTTAGCATTTAAGTAAATCTTCAAAGTTTCTCTCAATTTACTCTATAGATTTTGAATCTGATTATCTTTATAGTTTCTTCCTTTTTTTGTGTTTTTTTGTGTTTTTTGTTGTTTTTTAGCTTTTTCTGGTCCCTGTATTTTATATCAAATCCAAACGATGAGTAGATTGAAAATTTTCTAGGGTACTAATACTCATGAGATGTATTTCTCACTGTCTCCCATTAGGAGGCCTTGTCCTACTTTTGGGCTCACGTGCTGCCATCTTTATCCATCCATAACAAAGTTCCCTATCAATCTTTTATTTAATGCTTTTAGCAACGGTTGCTGCTCATTTTTTTATTCACTAGGGATAGTAATTTGATGGCTTCCTAAATTTGTGCTAGATTGTCATCCTTTTTTTGTCTTTTTTGAGACGGGGTTTCATTATGCAATTCAGGCAGGCCTTGAACTCACTTTGTAGCCAAAGCTACCTCAAACTCACAGTGATCGTCCTGTCTCAGCCTCCTGAGTCCTGGGATTATAAGCATGCTCTACCACAACTCATTTCCATTTTCATTTTAGACTGGCATTCATGTGAAGAACATTCCTTCTGAGACTTGCTGGATACAACTGCAATACAAATGGTGGAAGCAATGGAGAAAAACAATTCTTAATTTTTTTTTATCCAGAACTGGGGGTTGAACATAGGGCCTTTGCACTAAGGTGCAAGGATGCAGTTCCCACCTCCCTTTTTTTAAAGACAAGGTCACACTGAGTTGCTAAGTTGCCCAAGCGGGGCTCCAACTTGCAGTGTGGTCCTGCGTTAACCTTCCAAAGTGCTGGGATTGCAGGTTTACAACAGTATTGATTCTCGTAATTACCACATTTTTAAATAAAATCAGTTGTTGTCTTAGCAACTGTGGAGATGAACAGTGTTGCTGTATTTGAACTCTTAAACTTTTATATATTTCTGTTTCATTTTGATAAGTTATTATTCTCTTTGATGCCCAAATTGTCCAATCTCTGACCAGGAAAACCTTCAAGATGACTACTGTGTCCTTCTGGTGCTGCCTAATCTTTGGTTATTTCTTTGCTGTCTGGCACAAAATAAGTGTTCCTTGTTGATCTTGTATTTTTCTGCCCAGACTTGGAAACACCATTTCTCCAGGGGCCCTGATTTTTTTCAGATATCGTCTTTAAACATTGTGTTTGCTTCTTCACAGTTTTCTGTTTTACTGGGAAACCACTTATCAGTCTGCATTCCTAGAATTTCTTTACATGTCTTAGTAATTTTACCATAACACAGGAAATGGAAGTATTTTATTTGTAGATCTTATGACATCAGCCACCAAACTGTAATTAAATAACTCCTTTCATGTCAGATATATTAAGTGTGAAATGTATATTGACATTATAGCATAGTGGCTTTTCTTCTGTTTTGATTGCTATTCATATTAAGAAATATATTTTACAATGTGATTGAATGCACAGCTGCTTAAGCAAGTAGATCACATGAAGGAATACTTAATCCTTACTATTATAATTATTAGGATTTTTAAATTCTAATTTTCAGCTTCCATAAAAATGATATTTGTGAATCATTAAATTGATTTTATGATCCATGAATAGGTTTCAGTCCATGGTCTGAAGTCAACCGTGGAAAATACAACTCTTTCCAATAAAAATGTCATTCAAAGCTGGGGGGCAGAGAACCTTTAATTTACTTCCTCAAGATCTAAGACTATCTTAAAAACTATTTTACATTAAGATGCCATCAAGGATTTGTAGGAATGTACTTTAATTCTACCACAAGTGATAATTTTTCCTAGGTTGAAACATAGGTTTGGTTTTTTTGGTACCAGGAATCGAACTCAGGACCTTGTGCTTGCCAGGCAGGTGCTTATGCCACAGAGCTAAATCCCCATCCTTGAAACATAGGTTTTAAAAGTGAAGGAGACCTTAGAAACAATTTCCTAGTTGGATAGTTTTAAAATTTTTTAAAGGGCAAAATTTCTTTAAGAAATATCAAGACCAGTACTGCCTTTATCCAACACATTATAACTTGGGTGCAGGACATTTCTCCTAGGCCTCAGTTTTTCTCAGATGCAATGTAAAGATGCTTGGATATGACCATTTCTTTGTAGAAAGCTCCTTGGAGACATTTCTAGAGTTTCATCTCCACTGAAGCATGTAAAGACAATGAATGGAGTTGTCAAACCGTTCAAAACTTTGTTGTCTGGCAGTGAATACTTAATTCTTTATTCCATCATTTATTACTTGTGTAACCTAGGCAGATTAATTTTTTTCTAGAGCTTTTATTTATTTACTTTTTGTTTTGCTTTGTAAAATGAAAATAATGATGGTAGTGCAATAAGAGCTAACTCCATAGGCTCTTTTGAGGTTCGGTAAGATAATTTATGGACTTGGTATAAAGTAAGCATTTAGTAAATGTAGTTCTTCTTATTATTACTGTTTGTACTGTTCCAAGACCAGTGCTTTTCTAAGCCATTTCTTGAACCTATGCTGAAGCATTACAGTTTAGAAATGTGGTATAGGCTTATAAAAGGTGGACATTTTTTTCATTTAAAATCATGCTTACAATTTCATGGGAGAAGAGAATTAAATTATGTAAGAACCTGCATTTCTCCTTCAGGATTAGATTATTTTTGAGAGTATTGTGTATTTATTGTGTATTAAATTCTGTTTAGTGGGGATCATATATTTTTCTTGAGGTTTTCATTCCCCTGTTTAAATTCATTGTTCTACTTTGTGGGTCCTCAAATTCAAATCATTTTCTTTATGAAGATTTCCTTTGAAACTTGCATGCCATTTGCTTGTTTTACACCACTAAAGTTGGGCAAAAGGTACGATAATAACTTTTATACAATTTCACCAAACTATGTTCTCCCAACACCAGCTTTTTGCTGTTCTTCCTGGTTTGTATGTAGAAGTATACTGGGTTGCAGTCAGAGTTCCGGACCACTTTACCTGATACTTTCTTAACTGACCACTTCAGCACTATGATAGAAGTTTGAGAAGTATATTAGTAATCAGAGTGCATAAGTGATTAATTTTATTTCTTTAGTAGTGATCTGATTCAATATTAAAGACTTCTGCTTCAGGTTTCAGTCTTTAAAATGACATACATGAAAAATATATATTTTCCCTAGTAACATGATGGTGACATGGAACCAAATATAGCTATTTTCCTGACAAGTACATTTTTTTAAAGCTACTCTTTAAGTAATTTATTTTTTTATACCTTTTTTATACCATACTCCCAGGCAGCAAAATGTTGTAATAATTGTCCTGTTTGGTAGAAAAAATGTAGCTGATTAAACTTTTGGAAGCTTAACATTAGGGTTTGCTGAAAGGAATGAGTGTAATGTTTTACAAAGAAAATGCTATCCTGACAAAAATGTTTTAAAAGTGAAGTCATTGTTGGTTTTGGTAGCAAGGATACTGTGATTAGTAATGGTTTAAAAATGAAGTAACTTGAAATACCATCATAAAGTATTGTTGGATCTCTAAGAAGACAGTGAACATTTTTGGTAATTTTTAGTATGCTTCCTGATGTGATTACTTATTCATTTTATTTGTGGAATTTAGCTTACCGAAATTCCTTTAATGAAATTTTCCCAGTCCCTCTAATAATTGATTTAATTATGTTATGCTCCTTGATAGCTATTTGGTACATTAGTCTTAATTGTATGGATATATGTGTTTTTAAAAATGATTTTGTGAAAACTGGTTAAATTGAGTGTAATTTTTTTTTTTTTTCCTTTTTGGTTTTTTTGAGACAGGGTCTCACTATGCAGTTCAGGCTGACCTTGAGCTCACTTTGTAGCCCAGGCTGGCCTCGAACTTGCAACGATCCTCCTGCCTCAGCCTCCTGAGTGCTGGGATTACAGGCATGTGCCACCACGCCCAGCGAGTGTAATTTTTTTTAACTTGAGAAAATGATTTATTAAATTTTTAAAAATAAGCCGTACATTACATTTCAAATTAGATGAAAATTATGAAATAACTTTTATGTTAGTGTCCTAACATTTATCCCCCAAAAATGGATTATTTAGGAACAATGTTGTTAAAGGTTTAGTGGTGGGATTGATAATGCAACTTTTAATATAACTGAGGAATTACTCAGTTTCTACATTAATTTGTTCATTTGGTTAATTGAAATGATTTTTTACCAGTTACATCATGTAGTACATTCATGTAGTACATTGAATTTATAAGTCATGACTTCTGCCCTCAAAATTCTTACAGTATTTTAAAAACCTGGTCACTATGTATTTGTTTTAGTTGAAGAAGCCCCTTAACATGAAGCTTTCTTTCTAAGGCTTAAAGACAGTGTGCCATAGTGGGGCCCTGTTGTTAGCTTCAGGCAAGTCAGTTCCAGTCTCTGAACTTCCTTTTCTTCATCAGAATATGTGGACCGAATATCTGCCCTGTCTCCCTGAAGGGGTTGTTTTAAATGTAAAAAAAGATTGTTTGTCAGAGTTTATTAAACTGGCCATATATAGTT